TATAAAAAACAAAGATGACTTGTCTAAATTTTAACAACACAAAAGTTCTAACCAAGTGTGATGTGTGAGATCCTGAATTGGAAAAGCTAAACAAAACAACTGTAAACCGCATTTTGAAACCCACAGGGATACCTGAGTATTAATGTCATCATTGTTCAGTGTGATAATAGGTTTGTTATGTAAGAGTCCTTTCTTATTCTTAGCAAAGGCAGGCTGCCCGCCAAAGGTTCTCCTGGTTAGTTTGAAACGGCTCAGCAGGAAAGGATGGTAAGCGCCTACGGAGGGAGGGTGGAGCGCTGGAGACACGTGTGGCCGGAGGCTGTGGGAGGGAAGACCTTGAGGAAGAGAGAGAGAGTGCGTTTCACTGCTTCTTAAACATTTCCAGGAGAGCCGGAAATGCCAGGCTTTGGTGTCCACAGTGGTGCATACCCAAGCAAGAACCTCAATAGCCCTTTGGTCTCCACGCCTCCAGGAGAAGAGGCAAGAAACCACAGCGAGGAACGAGGAAACTTGCCATTTCGTGTGTAAACAAAGCAGTTTCTAAGCTGTTAAATAAAAAGATCATAATCCTCTGAACTTGTTTTATTTAAGACACACTAAAGGGTGGTATTCTTTGAGGAGCTATTTTTAAAAGAGAGTTTTATTTTAACTACTGAAGTGGAAGAAGACAGGAAGTTGAGCTGCTTTTTTAAATGTGAAAATACTAGAGAACAGAGTAGGGGCTATACTGTACAAAATCCCCAATATAATTCAGAATACTATAGGGAGGTCCTAGAGTAACAATTTTAATTACTTTTAAATGGGCTAATGCTTTAAATCATTAGCATTGTATTTATACGGTATTTACACATATATATATACACCTATATATGTATATGTATATACACACACAAGTACTGTTTTAAGTATATGATGGCCAATCACATTCCATTTTTAAATTACATCTGATATAATACTATTTAAAGCACACTTGGTTTTAATGCTTCTACTTTACTTTACAACTTCCTCTTCATTAATGATGCACTTTAGTCATTTGATAGCAGACGATTTCCTTCTCAGGATAAACTAAATGCAGAATACTAATCTAAAAGCTGCATTTAGTCACGGTCCATTCATTAGTGCTCACATTCACTGGGAATATTACTGTCCTTCTAAACAATCATTTTATAATTTAACTTGTTTTATTTCAAGGACATTTATAAATTATACCTTAAAATAATCACATTGGCATTCAGGTTCAGTTTCAAGTAAACAAACAAACAAACAAAACCCAATGCTAGGTTCTGGCCAGCTGTTTCCCAGTGAAGGCGATCACAAAGGACAGAGTGGGCACAGTTACACTGAAGCACCAGGCTCACTCCCTGTTTATGAAACAGACAGCCAATCCAACCAAGTAGGGAGGTTCAGCTTCATTTGGATTAAAGTTAAAGCATTTTGAATTTTAAGATAAGTTTATTTAGTAAGAAAGTTCTAGCCCAGCTGGCGTGGCTCAGTGATTGAGCATGGACCTATGGACCAGGAGGCCACAGGTTGGTGCCCAGCATCGACCCCTAGTGTGGGGCGTGCAGGAGGCAGCAGATCGATGATTCTCTCTATCACTGAGGTGCCTCTCTCTCTCTCTCTCTCTCTCTCTCTCTCTCTCTCTCTCTCTCTCTCTCTCTCTCTCTCTCTCTCTCTCTCTCTCTCTCTCTCTCTCTCTCTCTCTCTCTCTCTCCCCTTCTCTCTCTCTCTCCTTCTCTCTCTCTCTCCCTCCCTCCCTCCTTCCCTCCCTCCCTCCTTCTCACTTCCTCTCTGAAATCAATAAAAATAAATTTAAAATTTTTAAAATAACAGTCCAAATTCAATCAAATTTATAAGAAGTGTGTTCTGATTAATGGACCCACTACTGAGGAGGACCCTAAAGAACTTAGGCACGCTGGGAAGAATACGCTGATTTCCACATCTCACATGGCTAGCTCGTAACAGATGAAAGGAGCCCCAGCCAGTTTGCCGCTATGATTTAGAGCGTCAGCCTCCGGACTAAAGGGTTGGTTAAGGTCAAGGGCACAAAGGCTCGATTGGGGCCCTGGTCGGGGCGCATGCGGAAGGCAACCAGTTGATATGACTCTCTTGCATCAATATTTCTCTTTCTCCCCCTCTGTTCCATGCTCTCTAAAAATATCAATGGAAAAAATATCCTTGGGTGAGGATTAACAAAAAAACAAACAAAAAGGATGAAAGGAGCTAAAGCTATCACCCTCATTTCTATAGTACAATCAATTAAGCTTTAAACCCAACAGTACTTTTGCACAACTGTTCTACTTTCCAGTGGTTTTAACACAAAACATTTCACATTCAGGACCTGATAAATATCCAAATGACCAAGCTCATCTTTCTCCCACCCCCATCTCTGCCATATCCTAACCCTCTACCCAAAACAATTTACTTCAGCTACTGTATCACTAAACACTACTGTGTCCGTTTCCCAAGGCTGCTACCGCAAATCACCAAAGTTGGTGGCTTAAAACAATGGGAATGTGATTCTCACAGCTTTGCAGGCCACAGCCTAGAACCCAGATGCCGGCAGGCCTGACTCCTTCTGGGGTGCTGAGGAAGAGCCCCCGGCTTCCGGGACGCCAGCACCCTCGGCCTTCCTCCGCTCGTAAATGCATCTCCCAGTCTCTGCCTCCGGCCTCACATGGTATTCTCTCTGTTTTCCTCTTTGGTCTGAGTCTCCTCTTATTATAAGAGCCTTGTCATTGGATTTAGGCTTCATTCAGATAATCCAGGATGATCTCACTTTAATATCCTGAAGCCAATTACATCTGCACCGAATTTCTTCCCAAACAAGGTCATATTCCCAGATTCTACACTGACATTTCTTTTGTTTTTTGGTTTTTTGGGGGGGTGCATCATTAGGTTACAGCCACTTTCTTCCTAGGGTTAGTTTTATCCTCACCCTATATGATAAAAGCCTAATACACAAATTGTGCCCCAGGCGGTCATTCGATTGAGAGACCAGGAGTTCAGCCGCTCACCATGACCTGTGCTGACCTCTGGGGGCGGCACGGAACATGGCAGGTGCTGGCAATGAGGCGCTGTCGCCCCGATGGACCCTGATGAGAGCAGGACCCGGTGGATGGGCCGCTGCCAGCTACCAGATGCTGAGGGAGCTGAGCCCAGATCAATCGCCCCACAGGCAGGATGGTGGAACAGGTGAGGGGCAGCGCCATGCCAAGCCAGGGTGCCAGGCGGGGCTGCCAGACTGGGGGCACAAGCTGGGGCGCGATCTCCGCAGGCCACTCAGAGAGGAACCTCACCCTTGCACGAATTCTAGTCACTAATAAATGCTAAATTCTTTTTTTTTTTTTATATATATTTTATTTATTTTTTACAGAGAGGAAGGGAGAGAGATAGAGAGCCAGAAACGTCAATGAGAGAGAAACACTGACCTGCTGCCTCCTGCACACCCCCTACCGGGGATGTGCCCGCAACCAGCGCACATGCCCTTGACCGGAATTGAACCCGGGACCCCTCAGTCTGCAGACCGATGCTCTACCACTGAGCCAAACCGGCTTCGGCTGAATGCTAAATTCTTAAATAATTTATGAAGTATCATGCCTTCTTTCTAAACCTTGTTTTTATTTCACACATTAGTTATCTGATAACTCTTTTCAATTATATATATATATATATATATATATATATATATATATATATATATTTTTTTTTTTTTTTTTTTTTTTTTTTTCTTATAAACCCTTTTTGTTTTAATTCATCATTGTGAAAAGGCTGGTAAGATAGATGTTTTCACCTACAATAATAGCATTTCCATGGATTACTGAAGTAGAAACCTTAGTGAGCTGCACACACTGATCTGGGCAGTCTTCAGGCTCACTGAGTTTTGTTTTAATTTCTAACTATACAACCTATACACCCTAATCAAGATAAATACTATTATAATGATATCAGAAGCCCAGTGCATGAAATTTGTGCACAGGGGATGGGGGGGGGGGTGTTCCTCAGCCCAATCAGAACCCTCTCCAATCTGGGACCCCTCTCACAATCCAGGATTCCCAACAGCGCACCTGCCTGCCTGCCTGCCTGATTGCCCCTAACCACTTCTGCCTGCCAGCCTGATCGCCCCTAACTTTCCTCACCTGCAGGCCTGGTTGCCCCCAATTGCCCTCCCTTGCTGACCTGGTCACCCCTAAATGCCCTCCCTTGCAGGCCTGATCACCCCCAACTGCCCTCCCCTGAAGGCCTGGTCACCCCCCAACTGCCCTCCCCTGCTGGCCATCTTGCGACAGTCATCTTGTGTCCATATGGGGACAGCCATTTTTTACCACATGGAGGCGGCCATCTTATATGCTGGTGTGATGGTCAATTTGCATATTATCTCCTTATTATATAGCTAATCATGCAATTTTAACCTATTCAGGTACAACATGCCTGAAAGGCTCAATATTGCCATTAATTTTCTACATTGTTACTATGATTCCAGTCATATACTAATAAGATATCAATGTGCACATCATCAAATGAAGTCTACTTTTTAAATTAACAACTTCACAAAATGTATCTCCAAATTCTCTGCATGAGACAAAGAAACATTTCAGATTTAGATTTCATTATCAACACTAGGAAACTACTTCCTCCAGTGAGCCTCCCAGGCAGCAGCTGGCCTTTCTGTAGCAACAGAACCAGCATGCTGCTGCCCACTCCCCTCAGCTCTGCCCCACAGCAGAGCACCAAAAACCTGGCACATGGCAGAGGTGAGTGCGGGCAGCTCTCTGATCTTCCAAGAAAATATGAAACTGAAGAAACCGTATGAAAAGCCTGGAGAGAGCACACGACAGACACAGCCTCCCTCCCCCCGAAGCAGAGAGTGCCGAGGAAGGTCTGGGCTGCGGAGCACACGACGGTGTTAGACTCTCCCCAGAATCAGGTCTTTCAGTGACTACCTTGGGCCTTACGCCCTTTTTTAAAAACAAATCAAGATGGGCAGGAACGATTCATACCTCCACCAGGAATAATCGCCAACTTTGTCTCAACTAGGCCCATTTTGGCAGAGGAAGCTGAAAAGGAAGGAAGAAAATTAATATCCACATAATCATAATTCATTGACGATGATTTAAAAAGTCATTAAACATGCTATAAATATAGTAATCCCCCTTAAACACAATTTCTCTGTGCAGTTTCAGTAACCTGAAGACAAATGCTGTCCGGAAATATTAAGTGAGAAATTCCAGAAATAAGCCATTCCTCAGTTCAAACTGCATTCGTGCTGAGGAGTGAGACCCTCGTCCTGCCCCGCCCACCGGGGCTGTGCATCCTCCCTCTGCGCAGCGTCCCGGCTGCAGATGTGCCTGCTCAGCAGCCGGAGGCCCTCAGAGCCAGGAGGCCCTCAGAGCGGGCGCTCAAGGCACCCCCTTCTTTACTTAGGAACAGCCTCGGGCGGGAGTAGTGATGTTTGCAAAGTGGGAATGCCGGAGAGAAGCCATAAAGTGCTTCCTTTAAGTCAGTGTTTCCCAAACTAGTGGTTAAGTATACAATTTTACCTATATGTTCCCAAAAATTCTAGCTTAGCACTTCTTAGTTGGGATTCAGGAATCTGTAGTTTAACAACTCCACCAGGTGATTCTCATCATGAGAGGAGTGTGGGAAACACTGCTTTAGTGAAAAGGCGTGTGTGTGGAGGAAAAAGCACGATATCACATCGGGCTCAGTGCCACCCAAGTTCCCAGGGGTCTTGGAATGCAGATCCCTGGAATAAGGGGGAACTGTATTCTGTTTACTAACTAATGTGTCACGAGTCCTTTTATCGCTTCAGAAGGCACTTGGTTATGAAAATAAGTTAACACTAAGCTATAAGGGTGGAGCAAAAGCAGTTTTACAGCTATATGTGAAACAATTTATTCTGATATTATTATTTCTTAATTATTTTGTTGCTTTCCATGTGAACAACTTGTAAGCCTACTTTTGCCCCACACTGTACATCGAGACTCCAGCACTCTCTGCTAAAAGCTGCGTGGCAGAGAATAATGTTTGATGCTGAACATTACATAATGCGGCCTGAGGCTGCTGAGCCAGTTGGACGGCGTGGAAGGTGGAGATGAGAGAGGCTGTGCGACAAGTGAGAACTCTTCAGCTGGGACAGTTCCCCATGCAGGCCGCTCCGTGTGCCCTATCGGACACAGCACTTTTCAAGACCCAGGGGGTCTGGACAGGTGTCTTTTTGTGTTTGTCTTAGGGCTACTTTGAAACACCCTGACTGTCCCTTTACCTACATCTCCAAATCCTAGTTCCCAGAAGCTAGTTCCCAGAAGCTGCATTCTTTCAGAAATGGGTTTCACGCGCCTCAGCTGTGCCACTTCTTTTCAGACAAGACAGAGATCCAAAATAAAGAGGAAAGGGGAAAAGGTGTGCCTGGACTAGCAACTACAAATCCCAAGAAAGTCACCATAAAATTATGAAAACACAATTCTATGGACTGTGTTCACCAAGCAGCTCTACCAGAAGGAAGTGGGAACCTGGGAGAACAGAGACAACTATTTTCTGCCTGCTGCGTCCAGCCCCTGGTCCCGGAGCCTTCAGGGCCCCGCGCTGAGGGAACAGGGACCAGCTCTGTCCTAGGTCAGGAAGCTGTACGGGACAGTGCCAGGGCGCGGTGCTCTGGCAGGCTGGCAGGCGTGAGGGCTGACACCAGACTGCCTGGTTCCGAGCCCAGCGCAGTCACTGACTTGAGGCTTGTTGCTCCACCTCTCTGCCCGCTTCCGCAAGCTCCACAGTCCTTATCTCATCGGCTGTTGCAGAGATTAACGAGTTACCACATGCCACGTGATAGAATGAAGCTGGCACCAGGTCCACACTCAGTGCATGGCTAGCACTGATGGTCCATTGTTCTTTTCATAGTCACCTCATCCAGTCCTCAGCAACCCCCCAGGAAGAAGGGGAGCCAGGACATTAAGCTACTATTTCTATAGCTAACAGTAACGACGTGTGTGGACTAGACACATGCCACAGGTTAACTCGCTCAATCTTCACAACTGCACCCATGACTTCCTCCAACTGGGAGGAGAAAACTGGTCAAAAAGGGTAGGACCCACGGTTCAGATTCAGATGTGCCTGATCCAGTTCCTGTTCTCCGTTCCTGCTGCTAAGAGTGAACAAGAGACTAGAGAACAGTTTTCTTCACTGGAATCTGAAGCACTTCATTAAGTCCAACAGGTGATTTTTTTTCCCCCTAAATATTCTATTCAACAACAATAAAATATTTGAAATTTTCTGAGACTAAAAAAACACACCTGATCTTAAAAACGTTATTTTAATGGGATGAATTCTCACCTGCCACTCTTATGTCACATGCTAGTGCCAGTTCCAGACCACCGCCTAAAGCAAGTCCATCGAGGGCAGCGATCGTTGGCACCGGCAGGTTGGCTGCAATAGAAAGAAAGGTGTCATGCTCTTTAGTAAGTAACCTTCCTGTATAATTGATCTTGGATTTTTTTCCTGTAAATATATTTTTAATGGGCTATCACATATAGAATTTTGTGTCCCTTTTGCCTTTAATAAAATACCATTTCCTTCATTGTTGTTCCATCTTATAAATGTGCAATAGTTCCTTTAAATCTTCCCATATTATTGAGATACTTTCATGAATACTTTTTGTTGATCAACAGATTTCAAATCTAAATGACTTATCCATGGCCCTCCATGGCTCCCTGTGCTGAGGACGACCCTCTCGATGGAGGAAGTAACCTTCTCCTCCAACAAGACAGAGCAGCCCACTTGGCTCCGGGCAGCACACACTCACTCTGTCCTTAGTCACCAGCACTGCACAGCAGCTGCGAGGTCAGCAGGTCCACCTTATGCCACACCTCAGATGGACGAGGCTCTGAGAAAGCTCCGGAACCTACCCACAGCGTGATGGCGAAAAGGTTAGCCAGTCACGGAACACAAACCAGACTTTCCTGAGCATGGTACTTACTGAGACCTTTGTACACTTAAATATTCAGATTTCATTTTCATAACTGAATGTAGTGTTTGACGTGGGAATGTGGAGCTGGGCGACTCGGCGAGCACGGAACAGGAAAGCTGCTCACTTACAGAACAAGACGCCACAGCGACCAGCACCCCAAAGGAACTGACCTTGGAATATTTTCTTGTCAAGCTTAAACCTTTGCTCATGACCCCAGAGCAAAAGACACTGACACTTGCTACCAAGATTCATAAAAGCATTCTAATTTTTCAATGAAAAAGCTTCACATCCTCATAGTCGAAAATAAAACAGGAAGGATTCTGCTTCTTAGGACGTGGTGTTAAGAGGCACCATCTCAACTGTCCTCGCCCGGGAGAGAGCCCAGGTGACCTGACAGTGTCAGCCAGGCTGTGGTGGTCATCACACTGCAGAGTTTAAATATGTCACCTCAACCAATACACGCCTTCAACTCCTAGATATTATATGTCAATTATGCCTCAAGCAAAAAGTAAAATAAAAATCCTATGTAATAAAAGGCTAACATGCAAACTGACTGAATGGTGGAATGACCCGTTGCCATGACACACACTGACCACCATGGGGCAGACACTCAATGCAGGCGCTGTCACCTGGTGGTCAGTGCACTCCTACAGGGAAAGCACCACTCAGCCAGAAGCTGGGCTCACAGCTGGCAAGGATGTCCTCAGTCAGACATCTCCTGAGGGCTCCTGGACTGCAAGAGGACACAGGCCAGTCTGAGGGACCTTCCAATGCACGGATTTTGTGCACCAGGCCTCTAGTAGATAAAATAAAAAGGCACCGTTCCTAAAAATCTCTCTTCCACAGGTATGTGAAATTCCACACACAAAAAGCTCATCCCCGACCTCCTGGAAAACATGCAAATGTGCTGAAGTGAAGGACTTCAGTCCTCAGACTTCTAGGAGCAAAGACTGTGGAGGCTGGGAGCCCTGTGGCCTAGCCCGCCCCTCGCAGCATGGCCCTGCCCACACCCTGGCAGCATGGCCTTGCCAGCACCCTCTCAGCACAGCCCTGCCCGCGCCCTGGCACCAAGGCCCTGCCCGCACCTTCTCAGCACAGCCCTGCCCGTGCCCTGGCACCAAGGCCCTGCCCGCACCCTTTCAGCGCGGCCCTGCCCGCACCCTGGCAGCATGGCCCTGCCCACACCCTGGCAGCATGGCCCTGCCCACACCCTGGCAGCATGGCCCTGCCTGCGCCCTGGCACCAAGGCTGCCCGCACCCTGGCAGCATGGCAGGGCAGGGCAGGTGAGACCTGAACGGGCAGCTCAGAACCAAAGGTGCTCCCTCCCTGTGATGTGCTTTAGGCCTCGGTGAAGAAACGAACAGAAAGCCAGGTTTACAGAGTATGAGTTTAATGAAAAAACACAACAATGTCTTGGCTCATTTATCTGACAAAAAGGAAGAAAAACCAATAAACAAATATAATGGCAACTTAATCTGAGTAGCTCCCAAGGCCATCTCCAGTCATTACAAATAAAATGCAATCACTTTGGTAAGCTCTCACCAGACTCCTTCCCCGCTACGACCTCCCCAATCTCGCCCCTAGGCCTCGCTGTGGCCTCAGCGTGGCTACCTCTAAGCTTCTGGACCCACTCCCACTTATCCCCCTCACAGCCTAGTCCCCCGCAGCTCCTCACACTGTGCTTGTCTGCTTACCAGGGACACCATGATTCTGTCCCATAGCCAATGGGCATCACCCGGTCCCCATTAAAGTGACGATCAGACACGTTCACCTTGGAAACGTCTCCTCCTGGAATACTCTCTTCATCTGCCTGCTAGGCCCTTCCTTGTCTTTCCTGCCTTCCTCTCTACCTCTGCCTTCCTTCCCCTCTCAATAGGAACTCTGCCAATAGGTCTCATCCCCACCCTAACTTTATCCCTATTTAAATACCACCAATGTCCCAATTTCTACCCAAACTTCTCTCTAAACTGAATCTCCATGGCCACCTGCTTGCAAGACATCTCCATGTTCAAACAACTTCCTATCAACCCTTCTTCTCGAGGCTAGATCACTTTTGGTAGCACCTCCATCCACCTCGTTACCTAAGTAAGACCCCCACAGGCGCCCAAGTGCCTCCTTCCCAGTGCCTTGCACCTATTGCTTTGTGAGGCCTAACAGCTCACAGATCTGCGAGTTCCCTCCCTCCCCACACCAGGTCCGGGGACCTCATTTCCCACCAGCAGGAAGTCTCAAATAGACCTTCCTGCAATTTGCCCCTTCAAAGCATCTTTCATATTTCCTGTCGGATAATCTTCCTAAAGTGCGAACATAGTTATGTTATCCTACTATTTAAAATTTAAAATTGACCAAGCCAGTGTGACTCAGTGATTGAGTGTCAACCTATGAAACGGGTCACATTTCGATTAGCGGTCAGGGCACACGCCTGGGTTTTGGGCTCCAACCCCAGTCGGGGGCGTGTAGGAGGCAGCTGTCATCATTGTTCTTTCTCTCTCTCCCTTCCTCTCTGAAATCAATAAAAGTACATTAGAAACAAGACAAAACCTGTACATTGGTTTATTCCACACGGAGGATCCAAAGGGAGAAAACGCACAGCCAGTACAGAAGGCACCAGATGAGCTCAGCTCTTCCACCGGCACAGCCTGTTCTCCGGCCTCAGGCACCGCTCTGTGCTTCAGGCCCAAACCACTTACAGGCCCACGAGGCAGTTCCACCCGCGGCTCTGTGCCAGGTGCGCCCTGCCTGCCACGCTGCTCCTGCACGGCCCTGTCACGTGCCATGGCCCTCAGCCTTCCCATGGCAGCCAGCTCACCGCCAGCGGAAGCAAAGACCAATGACGTCACACGGTGGTGGTCAGCAGGATGCTTCTTACAGCCCGGGACAAACCACAAGGGTTTTCACTGCTTCTGCTGTGTCCCTCATGTTGAACCTGGCATTCTCCCTGCTTTTCGTTTTATTAATAACTTCTTTCACTTAGTATTTTTAAGTGGCATGAGTATCAGCAGGCTACACAGCTACAGAAAGAAAGCGGCAGCATTCCTAAGCTTCCAGAGCAAGGCGGGGCGGACGGGCATTCGCCCCTTGCCTGGGAAAACGCTGCACAGCGAGTGCCAGAGGCACGCAAAGAGAGGTGGAGCTGCCTTCTCAGAGAGCGGTTCCAACAGTGAGATCTAAAGGGCCCCAAACGCAAACTCAGGCCTGAAATATGTGTGCTGAGTTCCCTTTCTGAAAATTCCAACCACAGTGAATCGATAGGAACAAATTGATGTGATATATACATGGAAAGGGGGGTTTTTCTTCACATCCAATTGTGCACTGATCAGAAAGACTAAGTAGAAGAGCTGAGGGAATAAATCGGCTGTAGATTACAAAAGTAACGTCCCATGCTTCATAAGCCCTGAGGCACGTTTACTATTCTGGTCATTTACAATGGTAACACTGCAACTCAGAGGGACCAATGCCTCAAAAAGAGTTGGTAAGGCTTCACTCCCCATTTGAATTAGTATGCTCAAATCAATATACTTACAAATAACACAATTAGCCGACAGAGAGTTTAAAATCCTTATTCTAGAAATATGAAGTCATTAAAAATTTTACTGTACATAAAAAACACAATAAATTAGTAGAATGCCCTCCCTTCCCCATCCCTGTGGGAGTTACTGTGAACCAGCCTGAGGCTGATAAAATACATGGTGTGGGAGGAGCAGGTTCTACATAACTCAGAGTCTGGGTTTACATGACGCAGGGCAGAAAATGAGTAGAAACAAACAAATGCAAATAAGCTGACCTGGGAAGTGAGGGGCAGGAGTGACTGACATGAATCTTCTCATTGCTTCAGTATTCTTAACTTTGAAATCAGTGAATATAACACTTTTTCCTCCACACACTTAAAACTTTTGGAAGTAACATTTTCAAGCTGGTGTGGGTCAGTGGTTACAGCATGGGCCTGTGCACCTTGCAGGTTCAATTCCCGGTCAAGGGCACGTACCTAGGTTGCAGGTTTGATCCTCAGCCCTGGTAGAGGACATGCTAGAAGCTACCAATCGATGTATCTCTCTCACACTGATGTTTCTCTCTCCTCTCTCCCCACCCTGCCCTGCCCAACCCCCACATTCTTTAAAAATCAATGGGAAAATGTTCTTAAATTTGATAGTTAAGAGCTTAAGAAATTTCCTCAAGAGGATAGAAGTTTTAAAAATTACAACTTGTATGAAATACATAATACAAAATGACAAGAAATGTGGGGTCATTATTAAAAAAAAAAGAAAATGAACATATTCAAATCATTAAATACTACTTGGTACTTTCAAATATTAATGAACATAAATTAGCATTGTAAAAATCATTAAATACATTTTTCTCCTAAGGAATTATTTAATAGTACAGCTTACTATTCAATGAGCAATTAAATTTCAACCATTTTAAAATATGAATCCTGAAATTATACATAATCCTAATATT